AAAAATATCTTACATGTACCTAAGATCAAGAAAAACTTCTTTTTGATGAGTAAATTAATTTCATATGATTACAAGGTACAATTTGATAAGAATGGATGTTTTGTATAGACATTGAATTGATATGATATTGCTAAGAGCTTTAGAGATGGAAATCTCTACTTCATCAAGTATAAAAAAGTGAATAGAATTGAAGTGGTTGTATTTGCTAAATTTACACATGATCAAGACAAATTTGGTATTTGACATCTTTAGTCATTTGAATACGAAGAGCATGAAGGAACTCCAATCCATAGTAAGTAGCTTGGATCTTAGACCATCATGCAATAATGCCATGCTTCTTGCTTGTGAAGGTTGTATTTTAGACAAATAACAAAAGGCCTCAATTTCATATTGAATTTTGTGTAGAAGTCATAGTGAATGCAATGTATAGAAGCAATAAGTGCCTTATAAGTGCATTTATATTAATTACTATAGAAGAAATATAGTATGGAAAGAAACCTTATATTTTACATATGAGGACTTTTGGATGCATTGTTTATGCAAAGATACCAAATTATATGAGATCCAAACTTAATACAAAAGGTACAAAATGTATATTTGTTGAATATTATGAAGGTACCAAGGCATATAGGCTAATATGTTTGAATACCAAAAAAATCATTAAAAGTTGTGATGTTGAATTTTTGGAGCATAAGAATGTTTGTGAGCACTTAGAGATGTATCTAAGTATGAGTAATGGTATGTTTGTGGATACCTCTTTAAATTCAGCAAAGAAAGAAGAACATAAAGATAATGAAGATGACAAAGGTATAAATGAAGATGAATAGACAAAGAAGATGAAAAAGAAGGCATCTACAATTCTTAAAACTAGTAACGAAGATGTTGAACATAATTATGATGATGAAAAGTACCAACCTTTGAGCGAGAAAAGACAAGCTTTAAAAGAGAAGAAGCTTGAAAAAAAACTTGAAGTGCAACAATATGAATCTTCTTCAAATAAAAGAAGATATCTTTTGGAAAAAAGAAGACCATGTGGTGAATGGTGGAAGAACTACATCTTTAATAAAGTAAGTGAAGAACATGCTAATATTACACTTCTTGTTGATCCATTGAATTTGTGTAATATAATGAAATCCACAAATACTATAAAGTGAGAGAAGGCCATGGAAAAAGAGTACAAATCAATCATAGACAATGAAACATAGAAATTGACTCAACTTCCATCAAATCAATCTTCAATAAGTTATAATTAGGTATTTAAAAGCAAAAAAGATGTAATAGATAAATTTATGAAATATAAGGTAAGATTAGTTTCCAAAGACTACTCACAAGTTTTTGGTGTTGATTTCAATGCCATTTGCTCTTGTGGCCAAATTCACCACTATTAAAACTATTGTGGCAATTGAAGCAACAATAGACTTTGAGATGCATCAAATGAATGTGAAGATAGTTTTTTTGAATGAAAAGTTTGAAGAAAACATCTACATGGATCAACCTCAAGGATTTGTTGAAGAAGGCAAATAACACCCTATTTGTAAGTTGAAAAAATCCTTGTATGGACTAAAACAATCATCAAGAATATGATATCAACATATTAGCACATTCTTTGTAAATGAGAGATTTGAAAGGAGTGAGGTTGATCATTCCTTGTATGTGATGCAGTCAAATGAATTCATATTGACTATTAACTTCTATGTTGATGATGTAATCATATTGAATAACACCATAAACAAGATAGATTGGTTAAAGACAAAGTTAAAAAAGAAATATAAAATGAATGATTTGAAAAAACTCTTTAATTATTTACGAATGGAGTTTGAAAGAAATTGTGGTAAGAAGACCATTACGATGAACCAAAGCAAGTACATTGAAGAAGTGTTTAAATAATTCAACATAAAAGAATACAAGTCCATTAAAACACCTTTGGAAGCAAATTTGAAGTTGATGAAGGTCATGGATGAAGAATTTATTGAAGTTAAAGATGAAATGAAAGATGTTCTATACAAAGCATCAATAAGTTCAGTTGTGTATGCAATGGTTGACACAAAGATGGATCTTGCATATGCAGTGAGTGTTGTGAGTTAACACATGTCAAAGATTAGAGCAATCTATTAGATAACCATAAAGAGGATTATGAGGTACTTAAAAGAAAGTTTGAACTTCAAGTTATATTTTGGAAGAGATAATATTATATTATGTAGTTATTGTGATGCAAATTGGGCTAGAGATTCAAATGATAGAAGGTCAACAATGAGATATGTATTCTTTGTTGGAGTGGGAGCAAAGTCATGGAATTTCAAGAGACAACCAAGAATTGCAAGATCTATAATAGAGGTAGAATACATAGTAGCAAGTCATGATGCAATGGATGCAATTTAACTAAGACAAGTTTAAAAAGACATTAGACTTGTGCAATTGGAAGCAACTCTAATGAAGTTTGATAACCAATGATGTCTTGCTTTTGCAAAGAATTCAAAACATTACTCAAAAACCAAGCACATTAATATTCAATATTATTACATAAAATAGAAGATTGAAATGAGAGTAATTGACATGAAATATTGTGTAATGAAAGACATGTTTGTTGATTTACTAAAAAAAACACTAATGAATGATAGGCATGAGAAGTTGAGAAAGATATTATATTTATAAGCCTTTGATTAATAGCAAAGTGAGAAAATTAAAATAAAAATTTGATATTATATAGAAGATATTATCTTAAATAAATTATTAATACTCAAAAGTAGCAAAAAAGTGAAGATAAGTTATTAATGTGGCGGCTAAGGTTTCAAGTGGTGGCTAAGTTAAGAGGAATTTAGAATTTAGTTGGATGAAGCAAATAAGGATGAAGATAATTATAGATGAAGTTCAACTATAATAGATGTAAACTCATCATATAAGTAAAAAGTATTGGAAGTGAAAGGCATCTCATTCCATACTTTTCTTGTGTGCAATATTTTTGATATTTATATGTTCATAATTATAAATACAACTTCTTTATTTAATGTGGTAATTATGTTCACATTACCAACTTTTAATAATTATCACCCACCAATACAAGATACATGACTACAATACTAAACATAACTCCACAAAATTTTAGATAAATATAAATTCTCTATAAGATTTTAAGCTAATATCTTTGGAGTATGATTTTTGTTAATAAGAATTCTAATCATATATCAAATGCAACCAAGATATGGCCTATGATATAAATGTAATAGACTTTTATTAAGTAGATATTACAAAAAGCCAAATATCAAAGTCTAAATTAATGGAATTGAATAACTTAATTGTTCCAAATCAAATAACAAAAAAATATCAGAAGACTTTTAATAAATAAAATAGAACAATTACAAAATATAAAAATGATACAACACCTATCTGTATTAATAAATTACCATCACTACTAAACAAAAATTATTAAACCTTTTATATAATAAAACAAAATAACACTAAAAATTGATTAAATATACTTATTTTTTAAATAACTTGAAAATATTGATGAAATACTAGGAATTTTGACTATCTATGAACTACTTATCCGTTTTTCCAAAAAACCTACATAATTATTTAATTTACAACACCACCGGTATAAAAAAAAACATATTCCAACCACAACCTTTGTTACAACTAGAATAAATTACCATCTAATAAATACAATTCAAAAAACAACATAACTACACAAGTAACACTCATACAATAGATCTAATGTATGTGAACAGCTGATGAAATGAAGCTGCAAGGATTGAAGCCTGACCCAAGAGTTGTTAGTACTTTTCAATCCAACGTTGCCATTCTTTGGATTGAGATGGCCCAATTGGGTTGCCCACTCAAAGTATAACATTTTTCACACTATTTGCTCTTCATACCCTTGAGACTACAAGAGCATTAACAATAATGTAGCAGTGAGGTGATACAAAGCGAGATTGCATGAACATGGCATGAGATAAGAGGCAAAATGGAGACTTCCGGTTAAAAAGAATCATCATGACACGTTCAGAAATAGTTCTTTACCGAGGGCTCCCCATGAACCTGGAATGGACTTGGTCTTCCCCGCAGTCGCAAACTTTCACTGCACCACAAAGGTTCTCAATTCAATCAGAAAGAAGAAGACAACGACCCCTACCTAATTCCTAACTTCTGAAGACGTTACAATATTCATCTTACAGTATTCATTTTGTAGTTAATGCCTTCGATTCTACATGTTACAATCAAAGTTTATACGGTAACCATGAGTCTATACTAAGTAAGCAAGGCATACAGCAATCTAATTAGAGATGCAGGTCCACCAATGTGTTGGAAACTAATGGACACTGATGGTCGGTTTCAGTTCTTTGATACAATCACATAAACCAACTCATCCAACGCATTGTTCCATGGTGACTTATAATGAAAGATGCACTCGTAAAGTGAGTTCTACCGAGAAGATAATAGATATCTCCAAATGAACCTATTGTGAAGGAAAACAGTATCAAACTGGCAGAGTGTACTTCAACTAATTCAGAAGTACGAAGTGGTAAAAAAGAGACTAGTTCTGGACAAGTTGCCGTAGCATTTAGAACCCATGTAAATTGCACGTTACATCAAGAGAAGTCCAATCTTCTAGAAATGCAATTATGACATATATTCTGGCACAAACAAAATGCCAAAGCCGCGGTATGAGAACAGACCTGAGTGATTCGTCTTGGTAAAAGCAATGCTGGTTCTCCTCAAAGTGCCAAGGGAATCTTAGACCGAACTTGCACATCCAATGGAGGCATTCAAGTAGCAACTTAAAACAGTCGCAGAAGAAAGGATCGTTGTACCACCTCGAACTCCTTTGACAATCACCTTGAAACCCACATATACGAACTGTAGAAAACTTTGCATTTTAAATGGGCAAGTTCAAAAAGAAACTTCCGACAACGGAAATTGTGATCACATGCAATTGTACTCAGCGTGCCATACTGGTTTCAGCGCCATTCAGATACAATCCATGCGGCAAGAACAACTCTAGGTCATTTGCAATTGCAAACTTTCGCCGTAGTAAAATAAATAAATTGAAATACTACATCCTCATCCTTATTATGAGAACGTAACAATTAAGAAGAATTTTCAAAAATCCTGATTTCACGACCAACAATCCATTTTGAAAAAAAAATTCTGCCTCGAATACTCTACACTATTTCGCCTCACTGACCCTATAGTCCTGTAAGCTTCTCATTTGACACGAGTAGCAGAAATGTTCACTCTCTTGAAACTGTCTCCTCTTTTCTTTAAACTCCACTTCCCGTACTCCAGGTCCAGAAACTACACAATTGGATACCCAGGTCAGAAGTAGAAACTAAATTTCCAGCAGCAAATTGTCACTACTGCTCATCATACTTTTCCCCTAAATGCTTAAAACGTCTTCGAAGATCAAATCTCAAACTGCTGAACCAACAACGCCTAATCGGGCTGTAAACCATCACGTCATTCTGAAAGATTCTCGCTAAAAATCCCAGGGGCACCCAAAACAAGACGTTGTCGAGTTCTCATGGGAGGCTCATTACGATCGTGAAAAATCACAACATACAACTCGTCAGCAAGGTCGGAAGTGATCAAGGTCTGCTTATCCCAAATCACAGCATCACTGCGCCTGACCTCCCGCCCGTTGCCTGGCCGCTTCCAAGCATTCCTTCGCCCTAAACACCTTCGATTGGAGGTAAAACGATCCCGACTTCATGTTATTCTCGAACAGGGTGTCGTACTTCTTCACCACGTCCTCCCATGGCGCTCTCTCAACCACCCCAAGGATCTGCCGCGCCTCGTGCTCCGTCATCGTCTTGCTCACCTTGTGCGCCATGTTCTGCACCGTCTCCTGCGCCACGCCTGTCTTGCTCGCATTCACGATAGCTTGTCGATATGCCTGCGACATGGCCCTCAGAACCACGCCCGACCCCATCACGATCAGATTCGCGAGCAATCTGGTAGCCATCTCTCTCTCGCGCACGAGCCCCGCGAATTCCTCACAACACGTCCAAAACCCGCCCCACCACGCGCTCTTCACCTATGCACAATCGCTTCACAACCCAACAACAACCATCCAAGCTATCGAAAAACCCAAAACCCAGAATCGAATTGCAGCTATGCTCGAAACAAAAACAACCACCATAGAAGATCAATCTGGACGCCAATCACACGACCTAACCGCCCTCGAGTGGCCAACACGCTGCTCAGTGTCCTCCGCGCCGCCCCGAACGCCATTCAGTGACGTGGATTTACCTGGACGTGAATAATTCGCTGAGGTGGACGTTTTGATGACTTGGACATGACACGTAGATTTAGTTTTGTATTTTATTTTATTTTACGGGCAGCTCTTGTGAAGGCGTGGTGCACAAGAAAATTGGTATTCTAAGAAAGAAGCTGCGTCGAAGCTTGGTGAGAAATTGTCCCAGCCAGAAATTGTTATGTTCAGTTCTGGAGGATGTATTCTGTAGATGTTGCGGTGCTGCGACTGCGTAGATTTTGATGCCAGGTGGATGTCAGAGGTTTTGTAATCGTGAAGCTTGTTGTATTTAACAATATATTTTTCTTTTTCTTTTTTTCATTTATTTTTTCTTTTCCTTTATTTCCTATTTTATGCTCCATACTTCCATAATGGAGCATGTGGCATTTCATATGGCAAATTTTATTTAATGACTAGCTTCACCTGATTTTAATTTGCCATGCTGCAAAAATTCATTATAATGTGTTGAAGCAAGTAGTTGATATACAGTTGAATATCCTTTATAATTTGCAGATTGGCCTATTTATTTGTGTAAATATATCTGATAGCATAATGCATACTTGCAAGGTAGCAATAGAGCACCTTCTTTGTTGAATGGATGCTGAAATGGTTCATATCAAAATTTGCAAAAACTCTGTCTATGTTGCAAAGTTAGATTTTATTTTTTAGACTACTACTTTATAATATTCAAAATATGTTATTAATTTTTTATTATATATGCATAGCTATGAAAATCAATGAATTTTTTTACTTAATTATTTATATATAAAAAAAATGTGCCATTAAAAAAACATCATAACAAAAAGAATATATTTGTAATAAAATTGATTTTTTATTTTAAAATTTAATATTTAATCTAAATTTATACATTATTTATTCATGAAATATCAAGAGTAATTTTTAGTTAGCTACTAGAGATGAAAAAATAACGGTAATTTTTGTAGAATTGTTAAATATTTAATTTAACTGATATAGGCATGAAAATACTAAAAAAATTGGATGGTATCTCATCCTGTTATTAATATTACAAAAGAAATGTTAACAATGGACACTTTAATATCTGTTAATTTTGTATAGGCTCTTTACATATTAGGATGATTTTTTTTTTCAGAGCCGTGTATTTAAATGTACAATAAAAATTTATTTGCAGAATAAGAATGTTACAAATGACTCAGTAGTAAATTATATATTTTTATGAAATTTTTGCATACATAATATAATTACAAAAACTTACTTAGATATTAAAAAGACCAATTTTTTTTGAAAGATAGCACTGAAATCAATTTTATTATTAAAAATAAAAATGTTTTTCGATTCATATTCAAACTAGATTATTAAAAATAAAAATCTTAATTTGCCAAATTTTTAATATTTTAATGTCTACTAAAATTTTCAATAATATTTAATTGATTGTTTGGAAAAAAGAAATAAAGAAAAAAGATAAACGTAGTTTGATAAAATTATGTACTCTTGTAAATTTTTTTAACATTTTTACATAATGAATAATTTTCATTACATAAATGTTATGAAAACAACTGTATCATATTATTATTTTTATTAATTTATCTATCAAAATTTTATAATATATATATATATATATATATATATATATATATATATATAATTCTAAAATTATAAATTTTCAAAGGAAAAATCATAAATTTTTACAGTGGCTTAAATGCTAATTCAAAACATAAATAAAATATTCAGAAATACATGTGTTCTTTTCATGTAACATTATTAGCCTACACACTAATTTGTTTTAATATAATATTGTAAAAAATCAAGATGTATTTATTAATTATTTATTTATACTTTTCTTTTTCTTTTGAAATATAAAAAATTCTTTCAAAAAGAGCTCTGTGATATACAAAAGGGTAATAGAAACTTTCATGTGTATTAAACATAACAAATCAAAGGAGGTATAAAATTTTGTTAATAGAATAGTGAAATAATTGCAAAAAATTACAATAATTTATGAACCAACTTGAATACATCCACATATAAAAATAGCATGTAATTAAATGTGCAAGACAAACATTGATATGTAATGAAGTTTAATATATTGGGAAAAACCTTCCTATAGATAATATATTAAGAAATATTTATTTCATTTAATTACAAAAGAGCATTTAAATTTGAAAAATTTGCACAATATAGAATTAATACTATATATAAAATATATAAAAAGTGGATTAAAAATATATTGATTAAAGATATGTTTGAAAAATATTAGATGTTTGTGTACATATAAAACAGTTGTATTTAGCATCATAAGGTGATATTAATTAATTTGTATATATTAATGATATGCAACATTGATAAAATAATGTCCATAATATATCACTCAATGGTCCAAAAAACAACAACATTAATAATAATAGGCTATGTTGCAAGTATTAAATGAATTAATTGCATGTGAAGTAAAAAATAAATAATAATAATTTAGTAGGTGATTATTCTAAAACATGACCCTTTGCAAAAACAAACTATTAAAATCATTGTCTTTTAGGATTATACACTTACAAAAGCATCTATTGTAAATTAAGACTAAATTGATGTTAAATAACATTTTCTAATCTCAAATAAGCAAATACTATGATTTGCAAGCAAATTGAAACAACACTGTATATACAACTAGAATAAATAACTTATCAATATAATAAGAAAGCTTGTTTTGGTCCTTTTGAACTTTACACAAACAAATGATTAAAACAAAAGAGACATGAAAAAGGCCTCTCATTGATTGCTTGGAATATCACTAAGGATATATCACCAAGATAAATGAAAGAACAATAAGATAAACTAGACAAACTAAGGTAAACTAAGAACATATCACCATGATAACAAAATAACATTAAAATAAATTTGAATTAAACTAAGGACACAACACTAAGATAAGATAAAGTAGAATTCAACTAGGGATAAACAAGAGTTGAACTAGAGATAAAAAATTGTTCAATTTTTAGAGTTAAATTGTGTTTTTGGGCACAAAAATAAAAAATAATTTAATTTTATAATTTAAATTTTATGAGATACGATATAATCATAAAAGTTAATTATACATTTTTTTTATGAGCAATTCAAATTCACATTGAAATATTTAGAAGTATATAAACATACAAAGTATGCACATCTTATAATTGCTTAACAACATTCTTGTATAATCAAATGATTTTAAAAAATTATTATTATTATTATTATTATTATTGTAACATATTTTATGTATATTTAACCAAATTAGTTTAGCTCAAAATATATATTATTTAAAGATATATATATTTTTTTCAAAATCATTCTTTTAGAAACAAAAAATAAAACACTATAATTTTACCACAATATTTATTGTCTCAATAAAATTTTGATGCACAGAAGTAAAATTTATTAGCAACATTGCCCCAATCATTGTAGTCTACAATTGAAAAGAAGAAGAGAAAAATCTTCTAATTTATGAAAAAGCTGTTTACTGGTATGGTTACAAATATGGTCATGTAAAATATTTCTCTAATTAATGCAACTTGAATATGAGTAAATTGCTAAACAAATAAAACATGTTTAACATTCACTACTTTTAACAAAATAAAGCTGTAACCCCACTCCATATGTTTACAGTGTTTCTTATTTAAATATATATATATATATACATACCAACCATTCATCATGTTCCTTGTATCGCTATTAGATTGACAGTTACTGCTGTGTAAATGAGTTTTAAAGAATAATAAAATCATGTCTCCAACAAAAGTCACTGATAAGCACAAGCACCATGATCCATAAGCTTAACTATTGAAGCACCAGAGAAGTATTAAAAAAAAAAAATCCATTAATATGCTTTTTTTGTTTTTTTCCAACACAAACAACTCCTCCAGAAATTAAAACGTGTACAATTTCATGGGAATAACAACAACTACATTTTGCAAATACATGGTTGCCGAGGATAAATAAAAGGTTGAAATGTGGCGGGAGAGCGGCACCGAATCCGACGTGTATGCCACGTCACGACGAACAACAAACAACGAGCGCCCCTAAAAAATTCGAAAACCGGGACAGGCTGGAAGTGAACGAAGGGAACGAAGCATGGGAACAAAGAATTGGGAACCGGACTTAGGGGTCGGGGGAGTTAAGGCGCACGGCTGAGCCGACCCTAAGTCTTTCTGTTGGTCTTGGAATCGTCTTTGTTGCTGGTTGCAGGGCCGCCATCGCCAATTTCTCTCACCTCCTTGTAGGGCAGTGTGAAGATTCGTCAGCCAGCATGGCGAAGCAGATCAGTGAGATCAAGGACTTTCTTCTCACGGCCCGGCGCAAGGACGCCCGCAGCGTCAAGATCAAGCGCTCCAAGGATGTCGTCAAGTTCAAGGTGAGGTGCTCGAAGTACCTCTACACCCTATGCGTCTTCGACTCCGACAAGGCTGACAAGCTGAAGCAGTCCCTGCCCCCTGGTCTCACTGTTCACGACTTGTAGAGCGATGATTTTCTCTGTTGATGCTTCCAGGATGGCACTGGCGCTGGGAATTGTTTAGTGCTCGCCGTCTTGATGTCGAGTAGGCATGGATAGCGAATTAAGATTCGGAATGCAGAATGGAATACAGTTTCGGAGCAAGAGGGATATCCCTTTTTCTTTATCCCTCTACCTCTTTTAACTTACTGTACTTGGGAGATTTATTTGAATGTCATTTGAGATTTTAGGGTTACCTCTGCATGCCCTGCACGAATAGTATTTTGTGTGAAATGGTGATCACTGTGCTTAAGTCTTTTTGAAGAGAACCTCCATAAACCTACCTCCATTTTCTGAATCTGATTAGTAAGATTCTGGTTTGGTAGAGGATGCAACCATGTGGCTTCGAGTATTATGCACATTGTAGTTTTGTTTGGCTGTTTATTGAATGGGGTGTAGTCACTCCAGGAACATCGAAAGGCTTGGGAAAGTGTGCTACGCATGTTCGGAGAGGGAACATTAGTTGGGAATCCCTGCTGCAGTCTCATTCATACATTGCCAAAACTTAAGTAATTCCTTCATTGATCGATAGTTTACTTCAAGAGTGCGGGGACCAGAGTTGCTTCACTTGTGCGTTTCTGTTGTTTTATCTGCTTCAATGACGATCTATATGATTGTTGAATGGGGAGCGTTCCACTCTATGACTGAGTGGGTCAGGAATACCGCCGCCGTCATAACGAAAGCATTTGACAAACCTGCTTGCTTTAGCAGAGTAAACTGAAGCGGAACAACTCACGAGACCCACTCAGTCATAGAGTGCAGTACTGCAGTTAGTGTAACTCTAAATGCAAATTTTGATACCCAAATGTGCTACATCGCGCGACTCTCGTGATACCTTATCATCAACAAATCGCAACGCCAATAATCTTTCGTGTACCACTAGTTTACAAAGTAGGGTATGAACTTACCAGTATAAAGGATGTCTTCAAGATCGATTTCACGTGGAATCAATAAAAGTGACATTTGAGGGAACTCAGTTAGAATTCCTTAAGAAAAATCTGTTTTCTATCGCAAGGGTACTTCTTACTTTGATAGATAATATTTCACTACGTGAATCCCAAAACTCGCCTCCATTGATTGAGGAAATCCAAATCCTTTCGTCGAAATGTATAATCTGACTGAAAACGATAGGAAAAAGAAAAAGAAATAGCAAATCAACAACAACAAGAACGACGAGGGTTGGGCAATGACTTCTTAAACTAACTCCGCATAAAAGACGGAGATATTGTTTATGACTGTCCCTGCTACTCGTGTGCTCTTTGAGTAATTCTTAAAGCTCAATTTGAAGCCTCCTACCACATTTTGGAGAAAAGGAAGATGTACATGTATGTATGTATGTATTTTACAATAATGGAAATTTGCAAATGATATATTTTATCATGGTTTGGTTTTGTATGTGTTATTCATATTTAAATAATTTGTTTTAGGTACAAAAAAAAAAGAAGATTGATAATCATTTATTGTTTTGGTAAAAGATAGTACATGTTGACATTATCAAATTTAAAAACTATTTCATCAAAATAATTCTTTTTTATAGTAATTATTCTATATGGTTATTATTTATATATTCTTATAATCATATAAAAAACCATTTATATAATAGAATGATATAGAAATTATATAGAATAATATAGAATAATTTCTATATTTATGGAATATTAACCATACAATAGTAATAGAAAATAATATAGAATATTTCTAGGTTATAATAATAATATACATAAATAGAATAATATAGAAATTATTCTATATGGTTATTATTTATATATTCTTATTAGGTGTTTTTTCTTCGTTATTATTATTTTCACTATTTTTATATAAATTTCTATTGTTTTTAACTAACCAAGTTCTTAAATTAAACTATACTTTGTCTTTAGTTTAGTTGTCTTTAGTTACAATGGTGCAATACAAGACTTAAAAATTAATCCTAGTATTGTATATACAGTTACTCAATTATCTAGTAAAGTTGCAATTATCTAATAAAATATAAAGAATAAGAGTTAAAATACCCCATTATACTCTATCATATTAGATTGGCTAAAAAAATGAGGTAATTGTCTTTAATATATAACAGTATAAAATATTCAACAATTAATCTAAATTATATATATATTTTAAAATAAAAATTATATTTAAATGATATATTCATATATATATCCAAATAATTTTTTTGATTAATGATTCTATTATAGAAAGTTTTATAAATTAAAAAATTTGATATGTTGAAAATTGGGCCAACAAGTTTGCTATGTGTTGCACATATTGGTGATTTGTGGTACAAGTTGGCTATGTGGTACACATGTTGAAATTTATCTTATAAGTTAGATACATATATTGCAAGTTGGAGACTTTATCATATTATATGAAGTCTTACTTGAGAATGCACCTAACACTTAGCTATGGAAGGTAAATTAGAATTGCAACAATAAGGTCTTAATAGCTCTAATAAAATCTTAAATAAACATAAATTAAACAATAATAATCTTAATTTAACCTTAATAAAATCTAAAAAAAACTTAAAGAAATTATATCGAAAAATAAAAAAATCATAAAAGAAACATAAAAAATCATAAAATATTAAAAAATATTAAAAAATCTTTAAAAAATCTTAAATAAATTTTAAATAAATTCCAATCAAATCCTTATGAAATCCTAATGAAATTCCAAATAAATCATAATTATATCTTAATAAAATCTTAAATCCCAAACCAAATTCTAATCCAATTTTAATCAAATAAAAATCAAATTCTACTCAAATCAAAATAAAATCCTAATCAAATCCTAAATTCTAAAATCTAAACAAACCTTTAATCAATCCTATAATAGATTAAAACTTGAATAATTAATAATTAAACTATTGATTTTGACTACTATTAAAGAGTTTATACTTTTAATTACTGAGTAAAAACAAATACAAAAAATTTAAAAAAGATTGTAATTACCAAATCAAAGATAAATCCCATAATCAACTTGGATGTCAATTGGCTTTCTTCTCTAACCTTGATGTCAATCTTTTAGTGCCAATATCTTGTGCTTTCATTATTTTTTAGCTCTCAAATTTTGTATAATTATTAGAAATCAATTTTTTAATTAGTATGCATAAATTTATCACAGTTTTAATAGCAAAAAACTGCAAATCTTCACTAATCTTTTCAACTCTAATTTTTAAGATTCTAAAACTATTATATTTTAATAACCTTCAAAAAAACCATTTGGTTGCACTCAAACTTATAGTATAGATTTATTATAATTATAATCATATAATAAAAATAAATCCACCTATAAATCATCTTCTATTTATATAATTTTTTTTAAAGTATAAACTCTTTAAATTTTTCAAAATCCCAAAGTCATCCCAAAACAACTGTGACATTAAAATCTTTTTAAAGTCATTATAGATTCAAATTACTTCAAATCAATATTCTGAGATCTTAATTTTGGTTTTCTTTCAACATTTCTCTTTAATTTGCCAAAGAATCTATAAATTTCTATAGATAAACACTTTTGTATCTTAGAATGTGATTTCAACTCTAGTTCACAATCAGTATTCTTTGAGTATCAATTCTTAGATTCTTAAGATAATTTTTATTACAAACTATTCTTAAATCTTTTCTAAAGATGTCTATATTATTCATATTTCTACTTTATTTTGAATTGCTTTAATTAAGACAATATAAAGTGGATAAAATTCTTTTTTTAATTAAAAAAATAATATAAATATTAAATATTTTTATTTCCATCATATCTTTTACTATTATGGACATACATATTTATTCTATTAATTATCTATATGATTAGATAGAAATAGATAAAAATAAATTTATTTTATGATATCTTTTAGAAAAGCTTTTTAAAAACTTCATAGATGCGATTTTGACTTTATATGTATTTATAATTGATTGATAGGTTAAAAACTTGGTCAACAAGTTATCCATGTGTCACAAATGTTGGTAGCTTATGAAATAATCTAATTATGTGGTGCACATATAGAAAACTTGTGTTGCAAGTTAAGACATGTATCTAGCAAAGTCAACATGTATTAGAGGTCTTATAGAATATTGCCAAATAGCTCTTAATTAGATAGTATACAGTGACTCAAAAAACTGTTTCAATGTTGACATATTTAGGAAAGAATGGTATATTACAGATTAATTGTAGTAAATAATGACACATGGTTTATATAGCAAATAAAGTATTCCTTTACAGCTACTAAATGAATCCAGGTTGAAAAGAATCCATTATGTAATTGCAAAGCTATGACCAATCTAATTTGAAGTGATATTGTAATAATATTTTGAGTGTAGTGTCTAATTTTTGGATTCTATCAATTACTCAATATTATGGCATTCTATCATCATCAAATTTACTATGACAATATTATTACTAATCTAATGACATCATTAATGCTTACTAGTAGCTATAAAAGTACCATTCTTAATTACAATTCTTAGCATGGACATATTCTAAATTACCACATTTTAAGACCTTCTAAAATCTTTTGCAAATTTTTAGAACCTACTAGATACTTGTAGAATCTTTCACAATCTTTTAGAAAGTTCCATAGGCTTCTAAAAAGCCTCTTTAGACTTTTAAAAACTTCCATAGAATATACCATAGATTTTTGTAATTTTTATTATAGTATAAATAAGAATCTTTGGAACCACTTTTGCTATCAATGTCATTTTTTGTCTTAAATCTTGCCATATTTCTTTGTCAGATTCTTATATCCTTGATAATTCCTTGAACAACTATGACACCCATTCCTAGCTCTCTTCAAGACAACATCACATTTGCTCTTCTTCATTCTCAAAAATCTTATGGCCAAATGTCAAGGACAAGAACTTGGTGAAAAAACAATTCAGATAAGTGAGCCTTAACTCAAAGAAAAGTAACAAAGTATAAATAAACAAGTATGTATATTGAAAGAGAAACTAGAATGGCTATTGCTAGAAGACAAGAAAACTAGAGACCCTTGAAACTAGACTGGAAGCAAGAAAGAAGTTGACAAGAGTGAAAAAAGCTTCATTCTTGTCTCTATATATATTATCTAACTAGGGGCTACAAGGCGACATTCTATAGGACCTCCAATAAGTGTTGACTTTGTAGGACACATGCCTTGACTTACAAGATAAGTTTTTCTATATGTAGGCTATATAGTTAGTTTGGTCTTCAAGCTAACAACATGTGTGGCACATGGCCAACTTGTTGACTACGTTTCT